ACTTTGTCATCTGTATTCATTTCAGATGCTCATTTCTGCATTGGGTCTCAAGTTTGGAGGTCTAATTTTTTTTAGTTCTTTATATATTCTGTTATTAGTTTGTCTGAGGAACAGCAGGCAATTTTTTTCCACACTCTGGGTTGTTTCTTCCCTCTCAGTAGTTTCTTTTGCTTTGCAAAAGATTTTTAATAGGATGACATCCCAGTTGTTCATTCTTTCTGGTGGTTCTTAGGCAGTTGGGTTTTGCTTATGAAATCTTTGTCTACAACGATGTCTTCAAGAGCTCTATCTATTCTTTCTTCCAGTAAATGTTTGTATTTTAATATTTAGATCTTTGATCTATTTGATTTTGGTTCAGTACATGATAATAGACATATATCTAATTTTCATCTTCACCATGTGGAAAGCCAGTTTTCCAGCAACATTTATTAAAGAGACCATGTTTTTTCTAGTGAAAGTATTTGACCCCTTTGTCAAAGATAAGGTGGCTGAGTATGTTTGGAGTTGTTTGTGCAGCTTATAATCTGTTCCACTGATCATCAGTCTATTTTTTGCTTTTCATTTTTTGGGGAGATGTGCCAGTACCATGCTGTTTTTATTACAGTAGCTCTGTAGTATAATAGTAGTCAGGGATTGTGATGTTGCCTGACTTTCTTGGGATTTTGTTTGTTGGTAGGTTTTTAATTACATCTTCAATTTAATTGACTGGTATTGGTTTATTTAGGATTTTTATATCTTCTTGATTCAGCTTTGGTAAGTCCTATATACCTATCAATCTGTTCAGTTCTTCTGTTTTCCATCTTATTAGAATACAGGTTCTTGAAGTAAATATTGATCTCTTGGATTTCTTCAGATTCTGTTGTGATTTCACCCTTTTTATTCCTAATTGCATAGATCTGAGTATTTCCTTTTTTTGGTAAAACTGGTTAAGGGTTTGTCAATTTTCTTTAATCTTTCAAAGGACCAACTCTGATTCATTGATTCTTTGTAGTTGCTTTCTTAATGTCATTGTATTAATTTTTGCTCTGATCTTTTAATTTCTTTTCTCATATAAACTTTGGGCCTGACTTGCTTTTTTTTCTTCTAGAAGTTTGTGGTTCACTGGATTATTTGATCTTGCTCAATTTTTCTGATATAGGAATTCACCATTATACATTTCCCTTGTAGGACTGCTTTCAGTGTTGTATTGGCATTATTGTTTGATTGTAGAAGCTCTCTGATTTCTTCTTTAATGCCATCATTTGACCCATTGCTTGTTTGGGAGGGTGTTATTTGCTTTCAGTGTGTTTATGATATTCTTGTAATTTCTTTTGCCATTGATTTAACTTCATTGTACTATGCTCTGACAATGTGCATGGGATAATTTTAGTTCCTTTGCATTTACTTAAGCATGTTCAGTGAGCTAGTGTGTCATCTGTTTTGGAGAATGTCCCGTGTGTATCTGAGAAGGATGTGTTTTCTGACATTGTGGGATAGAATGCTCTGTAGATGACTAGTAAGTCCATTTGTTGAAGAGTTTGGTTCAGTTCTGATATTTCTTTTGATCTTTTGTCTGTTTGATCTATTTGTGACAGTAGGATATTGAGTTTCCCCATTATAATTGTATTAGTGCTTTTTTTTTTTTTTCTTCTTTTTTATGTATTTGTATAGGATCTATAGGGTCTCGGTATATAGTTCAGACCTGTAGTGATTCTCCTGTTTTTTTCAGCCTCCCAAGTGCTAGGATTACAGACCCATGCCATCATGCCCAGTCTCAATCACCCTCTCAATGTGCCCTGGGGGTAGGGCCAGCACATCATGCCTGGGATTGAACCCTGGCTGCTGCACTCTGCCTAAGCAGGCGCTTTAATCTGCTGAGCTATCTGGCCGGTGCCTTTTTCTTCTTCACATGTTTTTACTACAGTAAGAGAAATTATTCTGCTAATGAATAGAATCTGCAGAAAAAAATTATGATGGTATTCTGCTTGTGTATGAGCATGATCCTGTTTTCAGGAGATAAATGCAAAATATTAGGGGTTAACTCCCATGACATATTTTCAAATGTTTCTGCAAAAAAAAAGGTTTAGACAAGTGTATGTGTAGATGAATACATAGAGATATAGCAAATGTGGTAATGTGTATCATAGAAAGGCATTTGTTATACATTATTCTTTAAACTTTTCTACATGCTTCAAAATTTTCAATGTATGTAACTTAAAAATGAATTTTTGTAGTTGCTACAAAAGAATAAATTAAACCTGAATTCTTTTTTTTTTTTTAATTTTATTTATTTGTGTGTGTGTGTG